AATCCCCGCAAAAAACGGTGCCCGTTCCCCACGGGGACCGTAAGCCGCCCGTGTGGCGCCTGCATCCTTGCCAGGCGTACGACAGCCAACGACAATGGCGATCCCGCCGCTGGACCCCCGAGACACCGGCGGAATCTGTCGCGCACACCGGGTGACCCATTTAGAACGCATCTCTGCCCCGGTGCACCTCGAACAACAGAGTTGAGAGAAACTTTTTGTCTGATGTCGTGGCCTGTTAACTGGGTTCGCCCTTTTTAATGGAAATTCAAGCTCTCCGATTTGTAATGAGAAATGAGTAAATATTAATAATCTTTCGATAAATTAAGTATATTGTGTCTTGAGTATCTGTGAATCAACGACGAGGTAACTTCTTAACTGTGTCCCCCTTTGAAACAGAAATTGAAGCTCTCTAGTTTAGAATTAAAGGGAGTGAAAATTAGCGAAAATTCAGGATTAATAATCTTTCGATGAATTAAGTGTTGTGCCTTGAGTATCTGTGAACCAGTGACGAGTTAACAGATTAATTAGATTTTCGCGCCATTTTCTTCGACCATTTTGAAATGAATGGAAATTAGAATCGACTATTTTAATTTTGAGAAATTCAACTGACATTTCCTCTGTGCTTTACATTTTCAACCTGTTAACCGACTTCGCTTTTTAAACAGAAATTGAAGCTCTCTGATTCGTAATAAAAAATAACTAAAAATGATTGAAAATTAAAGATGAATAACCTTCGTAATAAATGAACCTTTGCCAATCTCACTATCGTACAACGAATGAAAATTAGAATCGACTACTTCAATTTTGAGAAATTCAGCTGACACTACTTTTGTGTTTCACGTGCACAAGGTGCGACGTTTAATTTCTCCAAACGCGATGTTTCAATGAATTTCACGAGGAAGAAGGTGCAAATTGTAAAGAAGGCTATCTCACATGTTACATCGAACGGTACAAACACAGGCACCTAACAAACTGATGTACTACACTGCAAAAAGGCGCTCTAAAAAATATGGTTATCGTTAAAACGACAAGAAGCTCGATAACTGATAATCGTAAAGTGTTCCATTTAATAACTTCAAATGCAAAATTACCGCTTCGCTCCTTTATCAGATAAGCGTTTCGCTTCGTTTCCTCATACGCTCCATTAACACCTTGCCACGCTTGTTTCTCCATTATTACAATAATAAAATGAAAAACCAACCCACGGATATTACCTCTAACTCGAACATAGTATACAGATCGCTCGAATAATTTTCAAAGATGCACCCTGTACACGATAAGACGAACATACTTCCCCAAATTCTGCCCCGTCTCAAAAACTCCAACCACCTACCTGAGTTCTCTCCCGAGCGGCGCGGAAAGAAAGAGAAGAAGGGAAAAAAGA